TATAATATGTTTGATATAAAGATTGATTTTTTTATAATTCGTAGACTATAAAAATTATATAATTATAAAAATATATATATTAATTATTCGGGACGCATTTTGGTTAGTTGGATATTTTTAATGAAATTGTATGTTGGTAGCACTGTCAACCATACGTTTCCAAACACTTCCTTAAAGTCTTGACAAATAAACATTAATGGCTGCCAATCTCGAACGAAGCAGTGGGATTTTTTCCAATTTTTCATTTTCGCTCCAATTTGCAAACTTTAACAAATAAAGATTTAAATAAACGGAACAGTGTATAAAGTGCAAGTTTCTTAACGGAAACAAATACCGAATATAGGCATTATGTGGCCGCAAGCACTGCAAATGACCAGAGACGAATGTCGAGGCATTTTACGGAGACTTGGTAGGTTGTCGTTCGTGTGCTGTACACTGCATGAGAAAAAGTGGTACTGTAACAGAAATAAGTGAACGATAACTTGGGACGAAATGTGGTTATGGAATGAAAGATCATTGCCCTATCTCCTGTCCATTCAAAGGCGACTAATGTTGCGCATTTTTCATCTGTTTTAGAGCTGGAATCGTATTCTCAAGTAATAAGTGTGTTTCGCGCTCAAGGAGGTCTGAGTGAAGCCAAGGCTAAACTGTTAGAGGAATTGCGTGGTATATTTCACATATCAACTGAACGACACCGTGCAGAGGCCCGACGTGTTGCCAATGATGAACAATTGGCCACAATTGCGGAAGCGTAAGTCTAGCAAATAAACGATGTTGTTGTGCTCTGTCCTCTACAAACGTTTTTTTGGTTCTATTTTGACAGTATATCTGGACCAAATACATGGCAAGAATGGTCGCGTGAAGGTAGACGTCCTTATCCGTTGTTGCCACGTGTGGCTCCCCATACAGCCTTAGCTCTAATTGCCAATAATGTGGCGGAGGAAACAGCTAATGAAAATCAAAAGCTTCCCTACCCTGCTGAAACTGGTGAGGCCATTAAGGAAGAACAGCAACAAATTGAAAAGCAAAGACCAAGCGAAATTGTGGAGCGTAATAATCATGTAGTAACCAGTGATCCGGTGAGTACTTGGACATATATGTGTGCACTGCACCTGTCACATTGGTTACCCATTTGTCAATGTTATATAAGTGGATTTACTAATTGATTTGGATCGATCTTGAGATATTTATTCTCAAATTGTTTTCAATTGGATGCTGATACAAGTATTGAAGGCAGTGAAATATTTGTTAGGAAATGTTGGTGTACATTAGCGAAAGCAAATGTATTTTGCTTATGCGATAATCATTCACAATAGTCTAGTGTTTACCAATTTTGTTGACAGGGTTGTATTTGTGCACTTGGAAAAGTAGTTAACGGGTAAGTATAAGAGTTGCCAGATGATTAATCTAATGGACTTTGGGTAATCGACAGAGGGAACTAATGATGACAGGGACCGTAACGGTTATAAGTAAATCAGTTATAATATACAAGTTATTTTGTGCCCTAAATAAAATTAATTAAATTATCACGTATTTAAGCACAGTAAAAGAAAAAAATCTTCGACTTTGGTTTGCTAAAGTGATAAAATCGAATTAAACAAAACAGAAATTAATATGCTTTTAATCATGGTATAATTATTACAAGGTAGGGCACAGCTACCAACTGATTACAATTTTTTCTCAAGGTGGCTTGTCCCATCAAATCAAAATACATATTTTGTGTATGTATGTTTCAAAATATGATTTGACAGCAAACTTTATACTCACCTGTGCTTACTGACCGACCTTATATAGGCCTTGTGTATGTGTATTGTTTTGAATACTATGTCAAATAAATTCAAAATAAATTTGAATATATTCAATTTTAATTGAAATGAAGATTGTTATGGAAGAAACAAACGCTTTATGGTATTCCCTACTGGATTTTGGGAAGAAATCATAACCTTCATTACTTTTTCGAGTTTTTAGAAGAAGCCACACGTGCATAGTTGCTTTTTTGCTATTCACTTCAAGCTGCACTACCTTGTATTATTGTACCATGCTTTTAATCAAAATTATAGTTCCGTTCCAGAACCTAAAACAATCTACTCATTTTACATATTTTGCAACTTTTTACTCGAAAACCGTTTCTCAACCCACAAAACTGGTAAAACATTGAATCAAATTTAAGAGAGCACAAAACAAAATGGCGTTCTCTTTGTAAACTTTTTACTCGAGAAATTTGGCCGTGTAAAAATGGTAAATTGGAATGCCTACTTCAGATTGGCTGTTATGTTGATTTTGAAGTATTGCCATCTAATTTTGGCATATTTATTAGATTTGCGTTCCCGAACTTTTCAAATTATTTTGTACTCTGAGAGCAATTTTGAAATGTTTCCCTTTTACTAGATTTACTATTAAAAAAGTACTGGAACAGACCATATATAAATACAGGCGGAAAAAAATTCATTTTTGGAATGTTTACATTGGAATAATTATTTGATTTATTTAACTCGTGAACTTCGGAAATATCGATATACGTGTATAAAGTGTAATAGACGTAGCAAACGTTATTTATTTACATAATTTAACAAAGTGCAGTTATTTTCTAATTTATTTTACTTATCACCAAGGTATATGTAATATAGGCCATCCAGATATCTACATTTTTTTTTTAAATATATAGAATTAAAAAAATAAAACGGCATGTACATTAGAACTTTTTACCGGGTTAACCTACTTTACTTTAGTTAACTTTGACAAAAACCATCGAAAAATTTTTTAATTTGTTGAAATTTTGAATTTGAATTGAATTGTTGAATTTTTTTGAAATTATTTATTTAAATAAAATCAGTTAATTGTTTACATTTATTTGTGCGCGTGAAAAAAGTGCAAAATAAATCCAATTTGTTTCAAAGATATTTTTGCCACAACAAACTATGTTGTGTTTTGAAAATAAAAAACCATATGCAAGGTAGATGTGTTAGGTAGTCGCATCGACCAAATTGTGCCTTGACCATATGCATACAGAAAAATGTCGAACATGATTTTTTATTCAACCAAAAAAAATTGTTAAAATATGAATATATTCAAATCTTGGAAAAAATTGAATTGTTTACGAAAATTGTGTGTTGTGCGCCCTTAAAAATTTGGAAAATAAGTAATGTGTACTTTTGAACGAGTAGCCTTTTGGATGATCTGATATTTGGGCCATGGCTTGTGTAATTCCCGAAATTACACAAGTGCAAAATAAATCCAATTTGTTTCAAAGATATTTTTGCCACAACAAACTATGTTGTTTTGTTTTGAATTCCAATAAAAAACCATATGCAAGGTAGATGTATTAGGTAGTCGCATCGACCAAATTGTGCCTTGACCATATGCATACCGAAAAATGTCGAAAATGATTTTTTTATTCAACCAAAAAAAAATTGTTAAAATATGAAAATATTCAAATCTTGGAAAAAAATTGAATTGTTTACGAAAATTGTGTGTTGTGCACGCTTAAAAATTTGGAAAATAAGTAATGTGTACTTTTGAACGAGTAGCCTTTTGGATGATCTGATATTTGGGCCATGGCTTGTATAATTCCCGAAATTCGCCTTCTGGTTTCCTGGGTGTTCATGCATGAAATCCTCAACTGAGGCGATGTCATTAAAGGATGGATATGTTGCTCTTACGTTGATGTATTGAATGTTTGAAAATTATTTTCAGCTTGAAAATTATATAATTTTTGAGCTATATAATTTCTTGACTTGTTCTTTCCGCTCCACACGACTTCAATCTACGACTTTTGGCAAATATAATACCTTTTTGTTTATCAACAAAAGTATGTATTTTTAGGCGCATAAAATACTCACATTAAACTACTTGTGTTCCCAGAACCAGGATTATTTCTATCAGGACTGGGTGCGTTCAAGTGAAATTAAAGATAATTAACTCCAGTGTTAATTGCTTTAAGATATATTATACCACAATAATAAATATAGATTCCATGTAACAAATTATTTGAGGAGTTTTATGTAGATTCCATGTAATACCATAAAAAATTAAATGCCTTAATCCAAAGATTTTTTATTATTTTTACGCATAAAATTATAAACTTTATATTGCCTCTCTTTTTTTCAAATTTCAGTTCAAAATACCAGAAATACCCTCTGGTACTGGCAAAAAGAATTTAAAACGCAATATACACGATCAAAATCAAAATGTAAGTGGTGTTGGTTCGGGTAAAAAACGTGCTATCAGCGAAAATTCACCACAAAAGAATCATCAACATTCTGCGGCGAATCGGCAACAATATCCACACATAACGGCAAATTCACCACAAGTGAACAACAATATTACTGCGTCCACCAACCATGAACAGAAATCTAAACAACAGCAGCAAGCCGCAGCAGCTGCTGCTGCACAGCATCAACATTTACAAAAACAACGTTATTTCCATCATCAACAGCAGTTGACCAAGCAGAAAATGGCTAAGAAGGCAGCTGCTGCAGCAGCCGCTGGTAGTGCGAGCAAGAGGCAAGCAACACCGGCCAAAAGTGGTAGAAGGGCTCAACAGAAGTTATTATTGGAACAGCATCAGCAACAACAACAGCAACAGCAGATGTCTCTCAAACAAATTGGTGAACCACAATCACAAAATATACCACATAGTGGATCAATGCATATCGATCTGACATCATCGCAACCAATTGCCGTGAATTCTGTTTTGACCCAACAACAAAATGATCTGCAATTCTTGACATATGCCACCCAGAACGTGCCGCCGCAACAGATTCTAATGGATGAACAACAATCTGCTGCACAAACTCAAATACATATATTGCCTGCGAATCAACCGCCAAGTGGAACATCGTTAATAACACCGGCAACACCGTCGTTACTACCGTCACCAACAACGCCCCAAATTGCAGCTTCGAAGCGCGATGTCTCGAAAAATCTTAATAAACTGCAGCAGATGCAGCAGAATCAACACCAACCTGTCCCAATATCCTTCCCCTCCGGCACACCTTCAGTAATATCATCGCATGATATGCAAAGTAATATCGGTACGATAATAACCTCCCAATCGCCCGCTGTTAAATCATCTACGGAGAAATCTCTGATCTCTACCACACCAGTGCAAAAATATATTGTCGAGGAACGCCAGCCGATCATAAGTACGGCACCCGGTTCGATTGTTAGTTTACAAAGTTCTCCAAATCCATCATCGGCGAATGCAGGTTCTACCAGCCATATAATACAGGTATCAAATGCTGGTGGACAGACATCTCAAATAATGGCCTTGCCACAATTTTCCGCAGCAGCTACAAAGTTGCGTGCAGTAAACACTACGCTTATAGCTCCGGGGTCAAAAATTTCCCCGACGAACAATAAGAAAATTACAACCATAACATCACCGCTGTCGCCGATAAATGCAGGTGCATTGCATGAATTGGCAAACGTGGCTAGCACCCAGAGTCAGGTCCTGCATATTGTGGAAACGACACAAGGCGGCAGCTCAAATCCCACAAACAGTACATCATTTGCTTCATCCCTGCAGACACCACCGGCGGTAATTCAAATACAGAGCGGTACAACAGGTGTAAGTGCTGTTAGTACTCCATCCGATGTTGTCCCTGTTGCTCCTGCGCCAGCTCCAACATCACAGAGTAAGGTGTTGACTACGACAATATTGCCTTTGGTTTTATCCGGAACTGGTGGTGGTGTTAGTGTTGGTGGCAACAGCACCAGCAGCTCTGGCAGTTCTCCTTCCATTAGCAATGCGCCGATTATAATCGGATCAACGTGTTCCACTGCAGGCAGCTCCACTACAACATCCACAACCACAACAGCTGCTACTGCTACCACCTTCATTAAGAATCTTCCCTCGACAGTGGTATTGAATACCAACACAAATACTTTGACACCAGTTACCGTTACGGGCACCATTTTCTCCACGCTGGGCGCTGGAGCAACAGTGTTTCGTAAACCGCAAAATATAATAAAAACATCAGTGGCCACCGCCGCCGTCACGTCCACTTCCAAATGTACGACTGCCGTCTCGGGTGCTCCGCATATCATTAGCAATGTAAAGTTAACTCCCATGAATGTTAGCACCACGAACGCCGTGGTGACACCGCTCTGCTCAGCAAATTCAACGTTTAAAAATGTGTTGCCAACCACTTCGGGTATGATGAGAACGAGTGTAAAAATCTGTCAGTCACCCAATGGAAAAGTTGTAATACAGCCGGCAGGTTTGATGGATGGTTCGAAGGTGAAGTTGAATACATCTACACTGTCACATAAGATTTTAGCCAGTAGCGTGACGAATTCAGCAACGGCTACATCGGTTGCCGGTGGGACGGGAGGCCAACGCATTGCCATACAAAAAGTACAAATAATTCCGGCACCATTGGGATCTCCGGCTGCTGGGACGACGACTATTCAAGCAGCTGGAACAACGGCCTTGGGATCTAAAACCACTACATTGACGGGCAAGAGCAATATGATTTTTATGCCTTCATCCGCAACGGCTAATGTTCGACCAGTTACCCTCTCTAAAATGGGCAACAACATATTGTTGAAATCAACCGCATGTGCACAGCTGGCCAGTTCTCCAGATGGCAATAGTGGAGCAAAAACAAACATCGTTGTTCTGGGACCATCCTCCTCCATCCAGACACAGAACACCAATCCCAATCCTAGCACATCTACATCCACATTAAAGGATACCCTAAGCCAGAATAAAATTGAAATGAACAGCAGTGCTTCATCGTTTATGAATGAAGATGCACCCTTGGATATTCTAAATATGCCTATAGTAATGGATCCGGGTGTGGGCGTAGCATCTGGCGGTGGAGATACTGTAACCGTATTATCCGGAGGAAATATACTAGATAGCAATGCGGCAGCAAATACTACAACCACAACTCCAATTATTGTTGAACAGGGCAACAGTACCCATTTGCCACTGTCGTCAGCGACCCAACAAACGGTTATACTTGGGGCTACCGACTGGGAAATGGAATTAGACCAAGCCATAACTACGGCGGCACACAACAACAATACCACAATTCAATACCAAAAATCCAGCACAAGTAATACAAAACAAAAGCGATCCATATCAACATCATCGTCTTCGAATTCCTCGTCATCGTTGTGTGTCACCGCCAATAAGATGAAACGCATCAACAGTGATTTGATTTCCATTGAGTTGAAATCGAATAGGCCCACCACATTATCCAGCCACGTAAAATCATTGCCTTCCTCGAATAACAACAGCACGAACAACATAATTGTTGTCGACAGCTTTGATGATGTCATTGTGGAGGAACACGAAGATGATTTGACATCCACCTGTTCCACGAATGTGGAGCAAACGTCTACTGAAACGGCAAAAAATCGAATCCACGACGACGACCAACCAAAAATATTAGATATGCAAATATACCAGCAGCATGATGGTGGTGTTGATGGTGGCAAATCACAAATAACCATTGTTGCCGACAATAATGAAGGCCCGGCAACAAATGTGTCGGAGAACAGACAAAGGAAAATCCAATCGAATGTCATGAGATCACAACCACAACAACAACCGGAACAACGACAACGTCAACAGCATATGGAATGTGAAGTAGATGCGGGATTTGATGAAACAATAGGTAAGTTGGAACACTTCGAATTTCAATTAAAATTTTAAAAATACATTAAATTATTCCAGTTTCTGAGATCGATGAAAATACCGCAATAGAATACATTGAAGAAGATGGAGCTTTAGTCACATCATCGTCGTCCTCGTTGTTGCCAACAGTTACCAGCCAATCCAACTCCAAGGAGTCATCAACCGAAGCAGTAATTTTAACCAAAGCTCTTAGTAGTGGTGTAAGCACCACAACTATTAAATCATCTCTAAACACCAGCAATATTGGAGCCAAACCCAGTAAAGAGCACCCCACTGATGCAATGGAGACAACAGTGAATAATTCAAACACCCAACTACAGCAGCTGCAGCCAGAAACACAAGCCAACAACAGTGGTAGTAGTACACAGGTTGAACCTTAAAAAATGTTTTGCTATAATTTCTCTATAATCTAAGCTATAATATTAAGGTTTGTTTTGTTTTTGTTTTCATTTGTACAACAATTCGCATACATATATAGGTTTTATTTTTTATTTTTTGCATAATAATGTATAACATTTTTACATTTACACACAAACACACACGTTTCAAACAATTGTTAAATTTGTTTCTCATCAATTCATTGATATTGTAATAACGTAACATAACGCACATTAGTTTACATTTATACAGACAACATACATTAATCATTATAAAGAGCAACTACATACCACAACTCGGATCACTTTGTTGTATATGCACTTTCATCACCTTCATTTACCAGACAAATATTTTAACTACTTAACCTTAAATTAATTTTTTTATCATACAATCATCCAGCTATACCCACCTATTCATTCATCAAATGTTATAATTTGGAAGAAGAAAAAACAAATTGTTTGATATTTTTCTTTTCAATTTTAATTTAGAATAGTTTTAATAATGGAGTTTGAAACTTTACAAAAGTTTGTATATAACACATAAAATCTAGATTGTACATTTTAATTAAAACTTGTTTTCGTTTTTAATTTTCTTTTCATTATTATAAATACATATTAAAAAAAATATTAATTCACTTATTGCCGTTGCTGTCCTTATTAGATAAGGATCGCCGTGATTTGTGTAAAAGTAAGGAACTTGATTATTAGAACTTTTGTTGTTTCTTAATGTAAATGTCAAGTGAAACAATTCTATAGAAATGTGAATCAAAGCGAGATTATAGGTTAGCTGAATATTGGAAATTATACATACATACGTACATATAAATATTATGTATTTTCTCCCCTTTTATTGTAAGTATGTATAGAAGAAACCCCAACATAGATACACAAACATAACACAAAATGGTTTGTATAAAAAAAAAGGAAAAACAAAACACCACAACAACAATTTTCATTAAGTTAGTAGTAAATTCTTTAGCATATAACACTGTTGGTTGGCATTACTATTATATAATATTATTATCATCTTTTATTATTAAAACAAAAAGAAACGTAATATAAATTAAATTTATATAAAAAAGATTGCAATTTTTGTTTTCTTGAATTTTTTCAATAAATAAAATATCTTTGAAGTTGAATACAATAAAAAATAGATACTTTATTTATTTAGAGACAATTTAACCCGAATAGTGCTGTAATTATTTTTTCGTATTTTGGGACGAAACTTTCAGCGGCTCTAGATTGTTGGTCACTGAATCCAAACATTTTATTTGTATCCTTTCATTAAACAAATAAACTTTTTGCCTATTACATAGATTGAATTCTACTAGCGCCATCTGGATTTGATGTCAGCCCAAATGATCAATTCAATTATCATCATTACACGCCTTGAGTAACTCCCTAAAACGTATGTTGTTTTCTAAATACCTTTATAATATGAACTCAAAATTATAATGTAGAATGCATAACGGCGTTAATTTTTATTATTTTGGAAAGTCTGCGCTCACCAGCGTAAGTATCGGTGTTTTTACAAAACCAGATAGATTTCAGATAGGATTGAAAACTTCATTACAAATAACCGTGAGTATCTCTATGTGGGAGGGTATAAAAAGTTCGAACCGGCCCGAATTTATACTTTTTCTTATTTACCTCAACATAACCAAGTTAGTTCAATCCAATTTACATGTATTGAAATTTTTTAAATATTATATATATATATATATATATATATATATATGCTCATGAACCTGCAAGAATCTTGAACTAATCAAAATTGTTTTCGAAAAACTTTTCCACTATTTATAAAAACATACATTTAGATTTACTTATAAATATATAAACGTAGTTGAAAAAACCAAATTTAAACATTTATTGCAGTTTTGAAATACTGCTATATAATTAATCATTATTGTACTTCCGAAATTCGCGAAACATTGACGCTATTTTACAATCGAAAATAATTTCCACTAATAGAAGATTCTTGAAGGTCCTGAAACGGACCAATAGTGTCACAAAACTCAAAATCTAAAAGTTTTCAATGTAACCCAATGTAACAATTAGTCATAAAGTTTACTAAAAGAAAAGATGTTAACATTTTTAGAGCTCAGTACGAGTTTTGAACACCACTAGCACTCCAATACATTTTCTACACGACTCCACTAAAATTGATCAAAATTTTAAAATTATAGATAAATAAAGAAAGCAGGTTATGGAAATAGATTGTCCTCTAAAAAATGGTCACATATCGAGAGTTCACTGTATGTCTAATAAATCCACATAAAGAAGGTTAACCCGGTAAAAAATTCTAATGTAAATGCCGTTATCAAATGTTACAAAATAGTTAGGACAAAAAATCTTTGGTATTTGGTCAACCACAAGAACAAAACGTTGCTTTCTCTGTGGTAGTCATCGCGGCTGTTTTTTGACAGCACTCAACTTCTAAGACCAAACTTTTATTCATCTTGGTTAAGGCAAAACTAGGGAAGCAGCCGATCTTACTGATGACCTAATAATAAGCTTTAATGCAGATCATTCCAATGTGTCCATGATAAATAAAAAAAAAAATAAATCATTTCGCATAACGTACAAAAACAGTCAAAAATCATATATAGGGGAGAGGGGGGCACCTTTGAACACTTTTTTCTTTCAAGCCTTATACAATTTTTTATTTTATAATTTTTGGTATCTTTTAAATTTTAACTAATAGGTACATATGTAACCTTTAAAATGAATATACATATGACCCTGGTGGACGAAGTCAAAGTATTCAACACTGCCCCCAGGGGGGCAGCTTTGAACAAGGGTTGGTATTTTTGAACGACATGGTTTTTTACAGTGTTTATGTTCAAATATATATGTATTTTATTCATAGATATCAGAAATGCATTTATTTATTAAAAAATATATACAAAAAGTTTCGAAAATAAAAAAATTCAAATCAAATTTTATTAAATTATAAAACGACTTAAAAACAAAAATTAATATCGTGAAAAATACACTTAATTTCATAATCTTATTAACCCATTTGAAATTTTGAGAAATCGAAGCCAAAAATTAAAAACTTCGTTTTTTACTGGAGTTTGTTGCGCATGTTCAAAGGTGCCCCACCTGTGGCATTTTACGGAAATTTATAATAATTTTTTTGTATGAAATATATATGAAAGAAAATACATTAGTTATGTTTGAAATGATTGTTGGAATACAAAAAAATTGTTTAACGAAAGAAAACGATCACCGAATTCTCTCTGCGCCCTTACAAGCAAAAAATTAAAAGTTTACAATGGCACTGCGAAAACATGGTCACCCATGTACATTTTGTCGACAACTGAAAAAGCTAGCCAAAGTGGTTTACGCAGATAGAAAACAAGATTGCCATATACAAAAATGTGGTTACGAGTCGAAAAAATTTTAAACCGAGATTTTATGTGCCCCCCTCTCCCCTACGTTGCCTGCATAAAATCAAAATTTTCAATAACAATACGAGTGTGTTTTAAATTACATATGAACTAAAAATTAACCTAGGATTTTGTTTTTATTTTATCTTAATTTTATTTATTTTTCATTTGAATTAAACTAATTTCTCACGCTTTTGAGTTAGTCAACCTTAACCCTATTTGAAAATAGTTTTGTTTTTTTCTGTTTATTTTTTATCTTTATACAAATATACGCTTTTGTAGACCCTTTTTACAGGAAATATTAATATTAAGACAATAATGTCATTTATCCAATGTTATTCGCACAATTAGAGGAGAATCTAATAAAAATAGATTTAGAAATGTTAAATTACAAATTCAGTACAATATACAACAGTTTATAGAAAAAATATATATGTATGCATGCTGGTGTTTAGTATTCGTGGGTGGTGGTGGTTTGGTGTAATTATCCCTATATTAAGTTAATGGCCCAAAGTATTGCCACGGCCCCAGGCATTGGGGAAAGCACCGGCGCCTCCAGCTGCAGCTGGTCTTTGTGGGGCTCTGGTTGCGGGTGGTACACCAAAATAGCTAATGCCACCACTTACATCGGGTACATATTGTTTGCTGTAAGAAGAAACGAATATTTAATATGAATGGTATTTATGTAAAACAGGTATTACAAAGTCATCTTACAGTATGCTTGGTGTTTCAAGGAAAGCGTTACCACCCAATTCTTGGGGATATTGGAATTTGAGGAAGTAATAAAAGTGGCCTATAAAAATTCCTATCAACGAGGCAATGGATCTGCAAAGAAAAAATGTCTGATTATATATTTCTAATTTACAACCCTGAGTTTTAACTTACCCTTGGAATATGAGTTCCATACCAGCTAATACCCATGGCAAGTAGATGGCCTTAAAGCGGCTGCCAAACCAAAAGTTTACAATCACATCTTTATTTAGTTGACACCAGATGTATGTCACCGCAACAACGAGTAGATCCATTAAGAAAGCTACATTGAAGAGAAGTCCACCCAACACGGCCAAAGCCGATACTATTAACTGTAGGTACAAATAATCAGCCGGACTTCGTCCGAATTGATCTTTTTCCAGGCGTGCGCTGTACTGTACAATGAAATAGCAATTGATTAAGAAATGAAAGCCTGTTGATGGTGTCAACGGATAGACAAACAGGCTGGTAGCACAACGCCATAGATGCAATTTGCCCAAGACCAAATCACGGGCCAGATACATGTGTTGCAAGGGGAGGATTCCAAAGCGGGTCAGTAGACTCATTGATATTGTGCCCGCAAGCCAATATCTTGTAAATTTTGGCAGTTGCTTGAACCATTGTCCGGCATCAGCCATTGTGTGGGTGTGTTTCTTTTAAAGTTTACTATTTAGATGACCAGATAAAATAGAGGGCACGCTTTAATGCAGAAAATTTTCCGAAATTATGTTGATAATTTGTTCAATATTGTGTTTTCTCAATTAAATTCAGTCTTTTTCGGTATGAAATCTTGATATCCGTCCAGTTGAATGATTTGACAGTTCACAAGGAAAACAATAACATTACGTGTCTTTTGACACTTTTTCACTGTAGTAGATTGTTGTAATAGAATAACTGCACTGCAATCATATGAGTGACATTGACAATTTTGAGTTGCCAGATGTGAAAAATTACATGGATTTATATTGGGGGGAATTTCTTTGAAAAAAATCCTTGGTATAATATGGCGGCATTTTGCTGAGTTGGTGTTAGCTGTCAATAAATTTAAAAATAGACCATATAAACTGAAGGCAGAAGGTATACATACGAAGATTTCAGGCTCGGTATTGTTGTATGTAAAATAATAAATGAGAACTCATGGCATAATAATGGAAGGTATTCTCATTTGAGAAATTAATAATGGCAACCCTTTTCAATGTGTAACTCATACATCAATTTCAAACAGAATGAAAAATAAATTCCATAACATTTTATGTATGTCGACATGGTATAATTATAAAAGGTAACAGCAAGTCCCAGCTGATTTGATTCCAACGTAATACTAGTGTCAATATGAATTTGACAAATTATATTTTTAAAAATCACCCAACAGGAAAAATGGGAACGCATACAATTTGAAATTGTTTTTTATTAAATGTGCTCCCGTATTCAATTTACTCTATCTGCCTGCTGGGAAAGTTTCAGAAAGAAAATCTTTCTTCAAGGAATAACTCGCTATTCCCAGCATTTTCATATGTGTTACACATATATGTGTCAATGGCATAAATATAAGAGAGATGTGGAAGCGATAGAAATATAAATTTGAAAGATTTTCATTCATGTTTTTCAATTTTTATTTTGAGGATTCGAAAATATTTAATTTTCAAAATAAAAATAATTTGATAATAATTGATTTGTTTACATTTTTCTGTCAAATGAGTTGACACTAGTAGAACTTACAACAAGAAATTTCCATGTGGTTGTTGTATCGTTTTTTTTTTTTTGTACAACAACACTTGCTGTTACCTTCTATTATTATACCATGATAACAGCCAATTAGAAGTTGGCATTCCTGTTTACCATTTATACTCGGACAAATTTTTCAAGTAAAAAGTTTACAACGAGTTTTGTGTTCTCTTAAAATTGGTTCAATGTTTTCGGAGTTTTTTGGGTTCAGGAACGGTTCTCGTGTAAAAAGTTGCAAAACTTGTAAAATTAGTAGATTCTTGTAGGTTCTGGAACCGAACTAATATGAACAAGAATGAACAGAACGACTATTTTTTTCTAACATCTGTAGATTTAGGAACATAGCAAAGATAAATGTCAAACCTTTCATAAAATTGTGTTGTATTTTTTTCTGCTTCCCTATATATATATAGTAAAGCTCAAATTGTATTATGGTATTTTTATTTTAATTTTATTAATTTTATTTTACAAAATGTTCCGACCAATAGTGTTGCGAAAATCTAAATGTTTTCTCAAAAAGTTGACAATACGAAGTAAACACTCAATAAGACTTAGAACAATAAAAACACTGCAAGACATTTTCCACACGACTTGACCGAAAAAATAAAATATGTTTAAATTTACTAAAAACAAAAAGCTTAAAATATTCGAACGATGTATTAAGTTGATTCTGCTATACGGCAGTGAAACCTGGCTTGTGTCATATACTATCACGTAAACTACAGGCATTCATTAACATATGCCTCAGGATCATATGCAGAACCAATACTGTAAAAGAAGAAACACATAAAGGCAAATACCAGCTGATTTGATTCCAACGTAATACTAGTGTCAATATGAATTTGACGAATTAAGTTTTTAAAAATCACCCAACAGGAAAATTGGAAACGCATACAATTTAAAATTGTTCTTTATTAAATGTGCTCCTGTATTCAATTTACTCAATCTGCCTGCTGGGAAAGTTTGAGGAAGCAAATCTTTCTTCAAGCATTTTCATGTGTGTTACACATATATATGGCAATGGCTCAATTATAGGAAAGATGTGGAAGCGATAGAAATATAAATTTGATAGATTTTCATTCATGTTTTTCAATTTTTATTTTGAGGATTCGAAAATATTTAATTTTCAAAATAAAAATAATTTGATAATAATTTGTTTGTTTACATTTTTCTGTCAAATGAGTTGACACTAGTAGAACTTACAATAACAAATTTCCATGTGGTTGTTGTATCGTTTTTTGTACAACAACACTTGCTGTTACCTTCTATTATTATACCATGGGGTGAAACACATAAGAGGCTATGTTGAGTTGGCTTCTTTTATTGTAAAAGAATAAAGCAGAATCGCGTCCGATATTCCTTTATAAATTGACATTTCATACAAAGCCAACTTAAGAGGTCAGGCCTGAATCCTTGTTGTGTTTCCCCTTTAAGAGGACTTCAGGTCTGGCATGTTAAGTTGACTTATTTTATTATAAAAAAATAAAGGCGTTCAAAATGAAGATTGACTTTGATATTCCTTTATAAATTTACATTTGATACGAAGCCAATTTAACAGGCCAGGACTGAATTCTCGTATGTGTTTCCCCCAAAAGAAACGTTGATCTGTGGAACCTAACGAATCAGGAATCCATATAAAAGCAGATTAAACGTGGGATGCGGAGATGGATTGGCCACATTTGAAAAATAATTTTCATAGCATTACCAGAAAGGCGCTTAAATGGAATCCCCAATAATAGTCGCCTTGAGGTGATTGAAAATTAAAAAAACGGTTTATTTTTTAATTTATTTTCATTGTTCCAATATTTATAAATATATAAAAAATTTTAAGCTTTTTATTAACACTATTCGACTTTCACACTCATTGAATTGACTTGCTCACCTAACCCTTCTTCTTGCCTGTGCAGAATTTGCCGTACTCGCAAATTCTGCTTTGCTCTGTTCGTTGAAAACAATTTTGTTGACATTTCCTTTTGAACCTATTCGCTTTACTGACACACAGCCGGCTTTTGTTTACAAACCTGTTGCTTTAATTTGTGCAAATGAAATTTAATTTTTGCAATTTATATAATAAAATATATATAAAAATAAATAAAATATTAAAAAAAAATCTTTAAAATTCAAACATTTTTTACTTTTATTTTCTTTCTTTTGTATTTTGATTCGCAAATTTGGCAAAGAAAAATTTGCTAATGGAAAAGCAAGCGAAAATTTTAAAAGAGAAAACAAAAATTTTGCCGAATAAAAATCTGCCTGTGGAAAAGCAGACTAAGTGTGTAGAATTTGGTTCAAGGCGGTTCAGATTTAGATATAGCTCCCATATATATGTTCTATCCCATTTCACGTCTAAGTAACTTCAAACCCACAAAATAAATCCGACCAAAATTAAAACCTGTAAGAATTTTATCAGTAACTATAAATTTATTATTTTCTGATTTGTGCTCTATTAAAAAAATTTAATTAAACCAATAGAATTCAAATAATAACTTGTTTTATTATATTATATACAATGTTATTAATAGCTTTAATCGAATTCATTTTGCAAATTTAAATCAAAAACTTCATCCATTGCTATGATCAATATTGATTGCTAAGATCAATATTGTCCATCGGCTCGCTGCAACATAACAATTCAAGGGCATTTTTATGCGTCTATTTAAAAATGTTGAGGAAATTAATGGATCAGAAGTATCGAAGGCGCTATTAAATATGTCGAATAGGTTATTCATGATTTTTTTCTTTGAAAACATTATTCTTTCTGTGACATTTTTCCCAATTTTCTGCTAATTTTAAGCAAAATAAATGTACTATTTGCCATGGTGTATTTAATAAGGTGTATGCATCAGATACAACAACACACATTTTACAAAAACAACATTGTTGTTATAGAAATTAAATTGTCATGCTGACAAATAGGTTTTGACAAAAGTAAATAATAATTTTGAAAAGTGTCCCACATGTAAGCCTTGGTTCCTTGGGGATTTTGCTTATATTTTAAATTACAATATAATTTTCGAAGAAGTGGCTTCTTGGTAGAAAAATTGTAGGACATAAATCCCCTGTCAAACACCACAAACCCGTATGCAATCTGTCAATAGACAGAATCTCATTTTAAATTGTAAACAAATTGTATTTAGCCAGGCGTTTGTAGAAAACTAACGGACAAATTCTAATACAAGCTTTATAACACCATTTCCTTGATTTTGAGAGAAACAGGGGATTTTGGGGCAGATTTCCTTTTCCTTAACAGTCTCATTTTATCTCCTTATTAAATCGATCGTAAGAACACACATATACATATGTATATTTGCAATTTGGAACCCAAGTTGTACTTGCGGCAAATATGTGGAACAAATCAGCGGCCGGATTTAGAACTGATTTAAGCTCACGCTTCCTTGTCGTCACTTGGGGCATTAACAAATATTCCGTCCCTATAAATTCATTATCATTGCACTTTTGTTAATAAAAAAATAATAATCGAAAACAAAAGACAATATTTTAAATCGAAATGAAACGTTGACAAATATTTTTGACAATTTACTTTACAAACAATAAAGAAAAAAGTTTAAAACATATGATTGTCACTTACACCTTATTAAATACACCTTGCTATTTGCTTTAAAAATTTCTCTCTTTCAACTGAAATGTTGTCAACATCAATTTTGCTCACTACATGTTTAAAAACAGCACCAGCTTTTTTCTTTTTGTTACCTTTTTTCGCCATATTTCAAAAAGATCGATTTTTTTATACGGATGTTGCCTAGAAAAAGAGGCATTACTCGCAAAACGCAACTTGAAATAAATTTATATTAACCCATTACTTATCACTTAATTTATATGCAAAAATTCAAAGAGGTCATAGGGTAAACGTACCTAATTCCGGCATGTACCAATAGTCGGCATCTGTTTTATA